TATTTTCTATCTTCTGAACCAACTATCGTTTGTCACATTCGACTGCTGATGTCTTTTGAATAAAGACGAAACGTCTCTAACAGAAAATAGTTACTTTCATTATGATAAAGGTGGTTTGTATCTTATTTTGAAATTTTTTACCTTAAAAGATGATTCAATTATAAATGTAAAAGTTAAGTACTCAATCTAAGAAGATAAGCACTGCAAAAATGGCGAGACCAACGGTGGTTTTGATCGGTACCCTTGATACTAAAAGTGAAGAATTTAACTTTATTCGTCGTAAAATTCAAGAAACAAGTTCGACACAAGTTTTATTAATGGATGTAACTACATTGGCCGATTCTAATGACATGATTTCAAATATGGATATTTCTAGTAAAGATGTTGTGGCGGCGGCGGGAAGTGATTTTCGGGAATTTCAAGAGAAAAAAATTAAAAAAACGGATGCTTTTAAAATAATGGCACATGGAGCCTCAGTTCTTTTACAAAATATGTTAAAGAAAGGAGAAGTGCATGGTGTAATGGGGTTAGGAGGTAGCTGTGGAACAACTATTGTAAGTGAAGCAATGCAGTCCTTACCACTAGGTCTACCAAAACTGATCGTTTCCACCATAGCAGCGGGTGACATGAGACCTTATGTTGGATTAGTTGATACCACCATAATGCATAGTGTCACAGATCTTGCTGGTTTAAATATCGTTTCGGAACAAATATTGTGTAACGCAGCCGTAGCAATCTCTGCTATGGCTTTACATTATTTTGAAAGCGTTTCTTCTGTTTGTAAACGAGAGAAATCTCTTGTCGCGTTAACCATGTTCGGTGTGACTACTCCTTGTGTTACTTCAGCAAAAAATCGTTTAAAGGAATTAGGATATGATGTTGTTATTTTTCACGCAACAGGTACTGGAGGGAGAGCAATGGAAAAACTGATTGAGTCCGGTATAGTTGAAGGCGTGTTGGATATAACAACAACAGAATTGGCGGATGAATTTGTGGGTGGAATCTTGTCAGCTGGACCACATCGTTTAGAAAAAGCAGGTGAAAAAGCAATACCACAAATTGTCTCACTTGGAGCATTAGATATGGTGAATTTTGGTGAAATCAATACGGTGCCTGATAAATTCAAAGGGCGAAATCTATTCGAACATAATGAAAAAGTTACATTAATGAGAACAAACAAAGAGGAATGTAAAGCTCTAGGAGAAGTATTAGCTAATAAACTGAATAAAGCGAAAGGACCGGTTACGTTATTTATACCTAAAGGTGGAATTTCTATTCTATCGAAGGTCGACGGGCCATTTTATGATCGCGAAGCTGACGAAGTCTTGTTTCAATCGATAAAATCACATCTGCATTCAAATGTAAGTATTGTGGAGATGAACGTTGATATCAATGATGAGAGTTTTGCAAAGGCGATGGCAAATGCATTACATGAAGATCTAACCCGAGCAAATAAAAATAAGCCTGAAACAACTACTATTGCTCTTTCTAATAAACAACCTGTTCAATATAAAACGAAACCAAAAAACCGCAGTGAAGCTTTAGCAAGATTGAATGAAACAATTAACAATGGTGATCTTATCATTGGTGCAGGAGCTGGAATTGGACTGTCAGCAAAATGCATCGAAGAAGGAGGAGTCGATTTATTAATTATATATAACTCAGGACGATACCGAATGGCTGGACGAGGGTCTTCTGCTGGTAAGCTCAAATTTAAACTAATTACATATCGTTTATTGATATGTGTACTTTCTAGGATTACTGTCCTATGGAGATGCAAATGCAATTGTATTAGAGATGGCAAATGAAATCTTGCCCGTCGTAAAGAGGACACCTGTTTTAGCGGGAGTTTGTGGAACTGATCCGTTCAAAATCATGAGTTATTTTTTGAAGCAAATAAAAGAAATTGGTTTCGCTGGCGTTCAAAATTTTCCAACAGTGGGTTTGATGGACGGGAGTTTTCGACAAAGTTTAGAAGAAACTGGTATGAGTTATGACCTTGAAGTTGACATGATTAGGCAAGCACATGAATTAGGCCTGTTAACTGCACCGTACGTCTTTAACGTTGATGATACTAGAAAAATGGTGCGAGCAGGAGCAGATATATTAGTTGCACACATGGGGGTGACCACTAAGGGTTCTGTTGGGGCGAGTACATCTGTATCTCTGGATGATTGTATAATCAGAATTCAAGAGATGCATGATGAAGCTGTTAAAATCAATCCAAATGTTATTGTATTGTGTCATGGAGGTCCGCTTGCCGAACCTGACGATGTTGCCTACGTTTTAAATAAGACAAAAGGCGTTAATGGTTTCTTTGGTGCTTCGAGTATGGAACGATTACCAACGGAGAAAGCTTTAAAAGAAAACGCGCAAAATTTTAAAAGAATTAAAATATCATCGTCACGACAGTAACAAATTACATTCAAGCATTCGTCACTTAGGAATACAACGATACTATTAAGCAATTCACTAAGTACATTTCAGTATAAAGCTGAGAAAAAGAACTTCGTATATCACTTGCTCGATTTTTATTTTATCTGAAAATCTTTTATTATCTAACCTATAGATATAGACATATAAATCTTCTGTTATCTGAACTTTAAATGTTTTCTGAATTATATTTGGGATTTGCGTTTCTTATTTGTGTTTCTCTTGCGCTCGATCACGTTCACTATCTTAAAATTTGTTTTTGTCACATTATCAATCAAAAATTCTCGATTTTATTCCACTAACCTTTTATACTTTTAATTCGTAGAGAAGCACACTCTATTCAGATGTTTCGGTTAAGACGTTTAACCTTCGCCAATAATAACATTAAAATTTAAAATTTATTAAATTCAAACATTTATAGCAACTTGGTCTTCCGGGGCCTCATTTCAAAAACCTATCTAGTTCTTTGCGTGAGGAAATGGAACCCTGTGACATATATGTCTCGAATGGCATAAATACATTCGAGCCGCCTTGATTCATACAACAAAACCACAACTCCGAATTTTTGAAATTTCTCTTTATTGCTGAGAAATTTCACTTTTTTCTAAATCAGGAGTAGACCCGTACCCGATCCGAAGTCGGGTACGGGTTCTATTTTTTTAATTTACCCGAGAACCGAAAGGTCCTAGTGGAAAACCCACAAAATTTTAGTGAAAAAATACAGGAGTTTAGCTAAAATACATGAAGGGTTAAAAATAATTACTTGAGAACGTAATGATAATTTGACATCTTCAGCCGAAAAACAAAAAGGAGAAAATTTTCAGACATAAGTCGGGTGCGGGTACAAAGTTGTCAGGATAATAATCATGAGGATTATATCCGTGTATGTAACGCATTGGCAATAAAAAACCCTGCAGCTGCATCATTCGCATCCATATTGGTTACTGGAAAAGAAGTTGTATTAACAGCAGTAAATGCATGTTTAGCTAAATACAGGTTTAAATGCAGTAAACGATGTTACGTAGTATGCTGAATTGAATCTGATAACTCAGGCATCGACTTTATTATCGCAAGAAAAACGAAAACAATGTATTCTCTATACAAATGTGTAACCACGTATCATGTGTCATGGAGTTATATTTTATTAAGCGAAATTCCTTGTGTTGTTTATTCATTGTCGAATGAGAAGCTAGACAATATTGTTAATGGAAAAGTTAGTTTTAATACTGACATATTAAAGTTTAAAGTAACGAATGAATATCAACTACTTGGATCAGTTTTGGAAGATGAAACAGCTGAAATCCATCAAAATTTCTTCAATACATTCTATTTTTCGATTTCAAGCAGATTAAATTAGTTTTGTATGTAATACTAATTGCGTGCAATGTAACACTTATTTTCAAGCGATCCATTTTTAAGAAAAACTTCCTTTTCGTAAAGATAGAGTTTAAAGACAATTAAGTACCATTCGATTATGTTGCTTTCAACAATATGCTTTTTTTCGATATTTTATTTATCAGCAATAATTTTTCGTAGAAAATTTACTTTTTTACGTAGAAATAAAAACATTTATTTATAAAATTTCACTTTTTGTTTTCGTTATTTTTTTAATGCTTAATCAGCCATTTTCCTCTTGAGGAAGCATCGTTTACATCGTTTATTTTATTCATGAACATTTAGTCGTGTTATTCAAACGTGTTGGAAGAGATGTAGCATTCTGACATATGGCAGATTGTTTTTACGGTGTTTTATCAGTGATGATTATGTTATTGATATTTACCCATCAAGACACAGAACGAATTATTCATTTGAAGATAGATCGAGTTAATTTTTCATACTTTGTTGGTGTAGATGATTAGTTCAGTTCGATATTATCAATTTCATTATTGTCTGTACCTAGTTATTCATGTATCGGTATAACTTATACTGAGAAAGAACTTAGAAGGGGAAAAGTGGAATTGAAAATGTAAATGAAACAAAGTTGGAGTTGAATCTACCTGAAGTTATTCAGTCCTGACATGAATGTAAATGAATTTGCCTTGATTAGTTTCCACGACTTGTAATCTATTATTCACTTTTCTTTATTTAGATTTATAAAACATTAAATAGACAGCAAGAAGCTGTTTTTCTTTTTTGAAAATAACAGACATATTCGATTTTTTGAGAGAGAAAAAAACAAATAAACAAAAAACATACAACTGTACATTCAGAGGGACGAGAAAAAAACACTGTTTAAACCAAAATCGCCAGCGATTACAATGAAAAAAAAAAAGAGCAAATCTAATTAGAAACAAAAGGCAAGCAAGCACAAATACAGATTACTATTCTTATTTCTTTTGTATCACACAACCGTGTGATATTTGATAGATTAGTTTATTCGACGGTGTTGAACAAGACGAAGATGATACAGATTGTGTCTGATGTAATAATGAAGTGGATAAATTTCTCATCGTACTGGTAGATGATGATGAAGCACGATAAACAGTGCCTGCACTTAGTACACGTGAAGTTGATGGAGATTGTGAAGGATAATCAAATATTCTTGATTGTACTGTTTTGACTATCGGACTTTGTCTGTAGACAGATGCTGTAGAAATTTGAATAGGACGAGGAGAATGAGCACTCGGTTGTTCTGTTATTAAATTTGTAATTGTTGGCTGCTGTTGATGTTGAGTATTGATAACTACAGATTGAGAAACTGTCGGTGATTGTTGATAAAAATTGTTCAGTAATGAGACAACCGTTTGTTGATTAAGTGTAGGTGCGGTATTTACAATCCATATTGTATTGCTATTATTATTTAACTGTGGTGCAGAATTTGTCACCGTCAGTGGAAGAGAAGTTTGTTGTTGTGGAATTATTGTCATATTAGGTGGTATTGGACGTCTATTTATTGCTGATGTTGTCTTCGATTTAGAATAGAATATATCCGATAAATCATTACTATCATGATCTTCATCATTTACAGCTAGTGTTTCTGTACATTCATCATAACTGTGATTGAACTGATTTCTTTTTGGCATTATTATTTGTGGAACTCGTGCTTGTTGTTGGTTAACTGGGGGACGACGAATCACAGATGGATGAAGTGGTGATTGAATTCTATTAACAGGAGGAGTAGGTAGAGGTTCTATGGGATTAACAGTAATAAGTTTTGGTGGTCTTCCACGACGTTTATTCTTATCTCTAATAATATCATTATGAATCGATTGTTGTTTACTACGTTTCTGTTTTACTTTTATCGGCAAAGATAAAGATGGAAGATTACTATTAGCATCCTGATTAGGATTTGTTTTTTCATGTTTAGCTAGTTCTGATGCTACAAGACTATTTTGTGCACTCAAATATGTATAAGCATATTTCATTTTCCGTTCGTTATCGTGAACATCAACAAACATTATCTCATCTTCTTCCATTTCACGAAATTTTTCTTCTTCTTCTTTCAATGCTTTCAAACGTGATAAATGCCAATCTTTACGAATTTGTTCACTGTCAAACTGAAAATAAAAAATCAGTTAAAATTTGTCAAAAGTTTAGTACAACACAAATGATTTACATACATAATTTAATTGTGATCCTGTCGCTGATTGATCCAACGATGATTCATTTCCACGATGTAATTCCACAAATTTTAGTGCATAACGTTCGATTGGTTTTAGCTAAATAAAAATAAAAATAAAATGAACGCATTCTTCTTATAATTTTTAAATGTCTAGAATGTTACCTGTTCATCTATTATTTTTAAGTCTTGTTCAACTTTGTCCATTTGTTGTTTTTGTTTTTCAATTAGTTGATCTTCTTTTGATGCGCCAACGTTATCCTCATTATCAAATTCATTTGTATCATCATTAACTTCATTATTCAATTGTTCCGTTGCATTACGATCTGTCTCGTCTTCAGCTGATGCAAGTGCTTCTTCAAATTGTGTCAACGATAAACTACTCTCTGGTGTTGTTGTACGATTTGTTTCCATTTGTTGTTGATATTCATTTCGTTCTCGAACAATATCATCGAGTGATGTCGATTGATCAAATAAATCTTGAATATTATTCTTAAAAAAACAACACAAAAAAAAGCATAAATATACCACTACTAAACAAAAATAAGATATAAGCTACTACCTTTCTGAAATAGTGAACATCAAAACAACCACCTTCAATAGCCAAATCACCTAATAAACGTTTTTGTTGTGCTTTTTTCAATATATTTTGTTCTACAGTATTCTCACTTATCAATCTTAATAAAAGAAAAAAGAAATAGCAACATTCCAAAATGTATACGATCACTTAAAGTGATAAGCATAAGCAAAAAAGAATGAGAAAATGATGATTTACCTATAAATATGTACATCTTTCGTTTGTCCAATTCGATGACATCTATCTTGAGCTTGTGCATCCATGGTTGGATTCCAATCCGAATCATAAAATATCACAGTATCAGCGCCCGTTAAATTAACACCAATTCCACCTGATCGCGTAGATAATATAAAACAAAATACTTTTTCATCTGAATTAAATCTTTCCATTAATTGTTGTCGTTGAACAATTTGTGTTGTACCATCTAATCTTAAATATGTATAACCATGATGATTTAAAAATAATTCTAATATATCTAACATTTTTGTCATTTGTGTAAATATTAGACATCGATGTTTTTCATGTTTCAATGTTGATAATAATTTATCCAATGCTTGTAATTTACCTAAAATTGATAAGACATAGAAACACAAAACAAGAGAGAATAAATGAAAACTATGTACCACAATCATATTGAATTAAACGACGTTCAGGAAATTGTAAAAGCATATTTTGTTTTATTTGACTTAAAGAGGATAATACGTCAAAATTAGTCGAAGATATTACTTCAATTAATGGACGGTTTAATTCATCATATCTATAAAGAGGATAACCGGATGAATATAATTCAATTGGTTGACTCAATACACGAATTGTACACAATACAAATCTAAATATAAATAAAATGTTTAATGTACATACAAAGTAAATTACATTCAATGTTTTCTCATGATTAATCATTACGATAGAATATGAGGAAAAAATTCTATTTTAATCTTTTTCTATTTGACTTCGCACAACTTTTTTAATAAACTAATTGTATTACCTATTTAATACTGAATAACAATCATCTAATAATTGCTCATTTAACTTCAATAAGTTTTTTAAACAATTTGTGTGTAAAAAAAAATCTTTTTTTGATAATGAACGTTGAATATTATGACAAAACGAATAACCATCATGCAACCATGAATTATATGAATGTTTAAAACGACATTGTTTCATAACCAATTGAACTTGATCAATCATATCTTCACCGTACACTGGCATAAATGAACAACGATCAACATTTAAATGCCCCATTAAATGTAATCGTTCTAAACGACTTTGTTTACGTTGTTTAACAATATTAAACTATAATAATAAAAAATTTCAAATTAGTCTAGACTTGGCTTATCAATAGTATTAACAAGCAGATAAACGCAAAAATGAATTTCAATATTTTACAAATTCTTACAGATTCACGTAAAAAATAGCAACTAAGATGCTTGCTATTATCTATCTATTGCGTTGTTTTGAATCTTCTACAGTAGACAACTTACATATATTTTTTCTGGTTTATATTCTTCATTGATATAATCATCCAAATTCAACTTCTTATTTGTTATTGTGGTTTTCATCATTGTCAAATCTAAATATTAAGACAGAAATACAAACTTTTACTCAAACAAATAGTTCTCCTCTTCTACTGAAGTTTTGTGTTATATGTTTATTTCAAAAGTAAAGATGAATATTGAATGAATAAATGTAACTAAAATCTTTAGGACTCCATACCATTTGTGTTCATTAATGGTGAATGATCTATTGTACTTTGGATGGCTTGTTTTGTTGCTTGTAATGTGTATTTAACTCGACAACATAGAAACACATTATTTAACAGATTATTATTCAACATCAGTAGTGGATTTTTTAATTTAATATCATCAATAACAAGTTTTGGCATATTTATTTGTAATGTATTTAAGTTTAATGAATAAGGTGAATGTACTTGTCGTTGTTCAAATAAATCAGGATGATTACACACTTTTCGTAATTGCATTAATATATTTATAACAGACATATAATGTCCTTGTGATAAAATATCTTTGGTCGATCTACATTCAATAAAATCATCATAAAGAAAACGTTGTCGTTTAGATAATTTACATAATATTAAATGTTCATATTTTTTTGGCATTTGTTTTTCAACATCTATTTTAAGACGACGTAATAAAAATGGTCGTAATACTTTATGTAAACGTTTAATTAATGCATCATTTTGTTCTTGACCATGTTCAATCATTTCTGTTAACGGATTTGAAAACCATTCACGAAATTCATGATGAGAGGCAAATAAATTTGGCATAAGAAAATGCATAAGTGACCATAATTCCATTAATGAATTTTGTAACGGTGTACCAGTTAATAATAAACGACGCTGACTATGAAAATTTAATAATATTTGCCAACGTTGTGATTTAAAATTTTTAATATTATGAGCTTCGTCTAATATTAAATATTTCCATTTTTTACGACGAAATGCAATTGAATCTTGCAAAACTAATTTATAAGATGTAATACAAATGTGAAATGCATTTACACGTGTCCAGCCTTTACGTTTTTCTTTACGTTCTTTTACACTACCATAATATGTCAAGATTTTAAATGATGGACACCTACGATTTAAAAGATAAAACGATTGTATATATGTTTAGTACATAAACAAGAAAATAGATTACCATTTTTTAAATTCTAATTCCCAATTTAACATGACAGATGTTGGAACAACAATCAGATGCGGACCCCATACACCTAGAACAGAAAAATATAGAGGAAAAAGTTTTGATCAAATGAAAAAGGTCTCCACTGCGCTGTGCATGTGTATTATAGTCGAAAATTACTTTTTTCACAAGCCAAATGAGCTAATAAGGCTATTGTTTGAATTGTTTTACCTATATTTTAAAAAACCAATAAATTAATTATATTCAAGAGAAATTTCTATTAATGACGTTTACCTAAACCCATTTCATCAGCTAATATACCATTCAATTTGTTTTCATATAATGTAACTAACCAATCTAATCCGACGTGTTGATATTCACGTAATGAATGTTTGATTAAAAATGGTATCGGCGTTTTGACCTAAAAGTAATAAAAAATAAACAAAATAGAAAAACTAATGTCTTTGTTACTCACGTTTGTTGTAGTTAGAGTAAAACCTGTCGGTTGTAAACCTTGTGCTGTCAGTGCCATATCATCCAATTCTTTATTTGTTTTTTCTTCCTTGACAGATGTTTTTTCTATTTTCACATCATCTACATTTGGTGTTCTTGTTGATTGATCATCTTCATCACTTTCATCATCGTCTTCTTCATGCTTTATTGATTCAAAATAATTTTGACTAGATGGTGATATTGTCGTATCAATGTTTTCTTTTTCACTCGATGAATTTGATTGTTCAGCATTGACGTCAATTCCATAATATTTTTTCAATAAACTTTCAATTGATTCTTCTTGATCTTTTTCTAATAAATCCAATTCATTTGTTGCTGTCTCAGGCGTCTCCATTTGTTCTTCTTCTTCTATTGTCTGCTCATTATCATCTATTTCTTCTTCATCACACTGAAATTCTTTATCATTCTCATCATCGATTGATGCAAGTTTGATTTCACCAGCAAGTTCTTGACTACTACTACTACCATTATTATCATTAATTTGTCGAGTTGATCTTAAACGAGTTGGATACGATGAACGCTCGATTGATGTTTTATTATCAATACCATTCGTTAATGGATATGCTGTTGATATTTTCTCGCTACTAGGACTTTCCGATGTTGCTCTTGATTCTTCGTCAACAGGTTCTGGCTTTAATGACTCAACAAGCCAATTTGAATATTTTTCTGTTTGATCAACGATAAAATTAAGATGTAAATCCAATGCATGACGACGAATCTCTTTTGATCGAGTGGATTCTTTATATTCAGCAATCTAAATAGGAAAAGAAATATTGTTATATCCAATTATTTTCTTTTTTTAAATAAAAAGTTTGGAGAAATAATATTCGTTATTTATCTGTCTCTATTTTACAACATACTTTTTGTATATTTTTCCAAAAGTTCATTACTTCTTTACAAATAAACTGATGTGTTTTTCGTTTACGTTTTTCTTCTTCTTTTGATTTTTGATCTTGATGTTGACTTTTTTCTTTAAAATATTTTAAAACACCTTGTGATAATTTTTTAGCCATTAATTGTTTCCATTTTTTTTCTCGTTGAAAATCTTCTGATAACCATTGCATTTCATCTAGTAAATAATCCCAATGTGTTTTACGTTTTTGATATTCAATAGATTTTGTTAGACGTTTTTCACTCAACCATTTTCCTTCGGATTTTAATTTTTCAACACGTTTTAATATATCCGTTTCATATGCAACACGTGTCGATGTTGGATGTTGATCGTTTGACGATGGATGAGTACGATTTAATGTCAAACGCGTCGATAATTGTCCACGTTGACGTTTGCCATGAGATGAAGGAACAATAGTTCGAACTGGTACTTTATCTATTTCATTAGTCACCTTATTTCTTGTTGCTTCGATTTTAAATTGCACATCTTTTATATAATCTTCTTCCGTTTGAAAAAAATGTTGTTCATCTTTTGTCAATTCAATAGAGGCGTCATATTCTCGTTGAAAATCAACGATTTCATGAACTTTATCACGATGATATTGAACTATATCATTTAGAGCATTAAATAAATAATTTAACGGTGACGATGAACGAAAACGTTTAGATGTAACATCAGAATCATTATTCCATAATACTTCTGTTTCTGAATGCTTACGTTTATGATCGTCAATGGGGGAAGCACTCATTGATCTAAAAATAAAAGCAAAGCAAACGTACTTGCAATTTTTGTGTTATGAAAAAAACCTTCCTACTGGATATACAGTATAATTTTTGCATTTTTCAGATTGTGAAAAGAATCAGCATTCTTTGAAGGGAAGAAACGCAAGTTTTAATCCCAGAGTTAGAGTAAAGTATGTGGTAAGTTCAAACATGATTCTATGAGAAAGGAGGTTCAATAACAGAGGGAAAGGCAGAAACGAACATTCATATACGTCTCAAAATACTTACAGTGCGTCATAGTGTGTCCAAACCTAGTGGGGTCGAACTTCTGCAATGATTCATCAGCTAGGCGGAAAACAATATATCAATTTGTTCGTTAGCAGTACTAAAATTATTAATTTTATTAAATTTATTTCTCTGACTTTAAAGTTTTTCGCCACTCGACCGAGAATTCAAAATTAACAAATCAAAAAACAATTATCTGAGATAAATAGATCTGCACTAATAAAGATGGGCTTCAACATTACACTAGTATTGTCCAAATGACACTTGCGAGAACAATTCAGATAGTCTAAACCTGCGATTTTTTAGAGCGGTATTTTATAGATCACATATTTCACGTAGCTAGATCAGAAACAATTAACTTTACAATACAAATAATTAAAGAAATTGAAAAACTTCTATGTTTCAAAAATTTGATGAGACTGAGCCTCATGAAACGAAAACATAGGAAGGCTCAAGCCTATCAGATATCGTCACTCCCTCTTCTATTTATGGTGCGAGTGGAATACTCTGATTGTCAAAATGATTGGATTTCATTGGCTTCCAGCCGCTGTGCAATAATGATGCTTAATAACTGGCTGAAATTATGAACCAATCCCACAATTCAACATTCATCAACAGTAATGCAGCAGAACGCGCGACAATGAACATATTTGTGTGTTTTAACACGGTCATCCAATAATTGTATAATTTAAAAAGCTAAAATAATGTTTTAAACAATCGCGTAAATAAAAATTCACGAGAAAAGCAAACTTTAAGACGTCACTATAAAACATGACATCAGAAAAGTGAGTGACATGTCATTCACTTTTCTGTATTGTATAGGTGGCGCTCTCTTCAAAAATGGATTGCCGATCAACCTACGCTCAAAAAAAAACACACTTCAAGTATGCAAACTTGCATTGGAGCATGGATGATTATTCTTTATCTTTTTTGAGAGTGGCTAGTAGAATAACACTTTTGAACTGCTAAAGTGAGTGATGAGTGATAAACAAAGGAAATTCATCCACTTTTCTGAATGTACAATACAGAAAAGTGGATGGTACGGTCACTCACTTTTAATAAAAGAATCCTTGGCTATACGTTTAAAATCCCTCAGTTTAATGGTAGACAGACGTTTACTCATAGATAAAAATACGACTAAAATATTTCTGCATTTCTAAAAAACAAGGTAACGCTCGTCTCCACTCGCTCGGCCCCTTGACTTTATTAAGTTGGATCTGCGCAAGCGAACGTCCTTTGGTGACTTTTAAATTGAACACAATGCTCACGCCTTCCTTCGTTCGGCGCTCGCTGGGGGCCTAACTAAGTCATCTTCTGGATTTTTCTTCATTTTTTATGTATAAGGTTCGTAGCCTGATATTAATATATAAATTAAGAATCTCTAGAGGTCTAAACATAATTCTGAATTCAAAACAATGCTCACGCCTCCCTTCGTTCGGCGCTCGCTGGAAACCAACCTAAGACATCTCCTGGATTTTTTTCTGTTTTCATGTGTAAGGTTCGTAATCTAATATAAATAGAGCAAAAATCTCAAAAGGTCTAAAACTAAAGTCAAGGGAACAACAACCTAGTATAGACTAAAGTCAATTAAGAGAAAAATGAAGAACAAGAGAAAGTGTTTGTGCTTATCAACTAGAAGTTGGTAAGTTCATTGAAACCCTATTGTTTTACGATTTTCGCTAAAATACACGAAAGGGTTCTTTGTCTCTAAAGGAGACAGTATGGCTGCTAGCTCATCGGCAGTCTAAGGGTAGTTTAACCCGCCAAATAACGTTTAAGAAAATTTTCAGTTCATTTTATTTGGTTTAATTGTAGCTGTTCACAATGCACGTCTCAAGGGCTATTGTGTTTCACAGCGCTTAACTAATTTTTTAATAGGGAAGAAACGTTGAGAAATAAAAGTCAGTCGCCACTTGATTTGATGGCGTTTTAATTCCAAAAAGAGTACAAATTGAAGCAGACTCTTGTATAGGCCTATACTCCTACTCCTACTTTGCCGTTTCCTCTGAATTTCTAGAAAGAGTCTTCAATTTTTTTCTAGAGGAAGAAATGTTATGTTACCTTTACTTGAAATGAACACAGGAATTTCTACGTATAAATAATTTTGACCATACGTTATCTTATCTCTATGAAACTCGAAACAGGTCTGAATACTGCACAATTTCGGAATAATTCTAAACAGAAAAAGTGCCGTTTTGTATATTCTTAAGTGAATGCTGAGAAAAGAGGGTCGCTTGTCTGTCCAATCTTAAAATTTTAATGTTATTTTCCGTTTAGGATGTGAACTATTAGAAAAAGAATCTGAAAGACTGAAGATAGCTGCCATTTCGAAACGACAACAAATACAACAAGTTCGTGATGAGTTGAAGAGAAAACATAGTGAAACTGATACAAGCTCAAACGATGATGCATCGGAAAAATTGTTTTGTTTTTAATATAATTTTTTTTTGTTTCGTGATTATTTCTTTTTGTTTGTTGATATTTGTTAGTCAGATAAAGATGACGATGGGAATAAAGGCTTTTTTTGTAGAAGATAGTGCTTTTAATGTCTCAATCATGTGAGAAAGTTCAGAGTCTCTATGTTTCTGGTGATATCAATATATTCTTGAAAAATACTGAAAATATCGGAACCGGTTTACCTATAAATACAGAAATCTGAAAAATGAGGAAATGATAAGACGAGTGACTTGTATACTTCGAAACTACGTAGTTGTGTATATTTCGGTTTTCCAATTTTGTGAAAACCGATGATATTTTTGCTGTTTTTCCGTCGCATGAGCAAATATTTCCACAAGGAAAATTTTCTTCAACTGATGCGCGAAAATCCTTTTTTTGAGAGATAAAAAGTCTAGTTTTCATCGGAATTTGCTGAAGAAACTGGAATTTTTAGAAAAATTGGCTTGCCGAAACAAATTTTTAACAGATTGGTAGATTTGAATCTTGCCATATAGTATGGACAAATTGCACGAATACGTATAGTTTCTCAGTTAATTTTTTTTCGGTACTGTTCAATACGAGGCCAACAAACTTCGGCACCAGATCAAAAAACTGTGTACCGATCGGTACGGTACCACAACTGGTAACGAACCGTCTGTACCTGTACTCTACAGGTACCGAACGGATCGGTCCTATAATTGGTACCGAATGAGCGGTACCGGTACCGACAATTCCCTACTTGGCACATTTCAGCGTACTATTATTTTTTAAAATTTCTTTTCATTGAAGTGAAAATGAACTCTTTTCTTAGTGAAGTCTCAGTAAACCGAATAATACAGAGTAAAGCATTGTTGAGTATTATCAGAGCTTTTAATATTCATGAACACTTTCAACAGACTTTAGATCAACAGAAACTATCGCTCTGTCTAGTCATTATTAATTATGGCTGATTACTGAGTTGCCATATCGAAACAAACGGTTCCTGCTGTAGTTGTTTGTAACGAAAGATTTTTATCGTAAATTTCATTGCTTTTTCGTATGCACTAATGAATATCTACATTGGGTATCACGTGATACATAATTCCAAGATTTCTGTATACCTCTGCAATTTCATATTCCGATGACAAAGGATTTGATCGGTAGTATTCTATCGCTTTTTCTTGGTGAGCGCTAGGTACCTGGCTGTTACCTAAGTAATAATGACTACGAGTGATGTGCCCATAATTCTTGGCAGCGTATTAGAGTCAATTTTCGTTGATAAATTTGAGTATAATTCCACTGCCTTTTCAAAATTAACTATTGCCACATCATAATTAACATCAATTTTATAATGGAAAAAACCAAGTGAAGTGTAGATCCGACATAATAGACTTTGATTCGGATTCATCGCTGTAAGTGAATTCGGCCGCTTTTTGACTATATCAATTCCCTTCTGATAAATAAACACATTCACCAATAACTAGTCAAAAAGACAAAATCATTACACACTCGTATTAACGCGAATGATGGTAATTCTTTGGTATAAATCAACGAACGTATCGACAACATACGATCCCGAACAATTTGAAAGAATTTTCAGCTGTGTTTTTATAGTTAACTAAAGCAGAATTATGATTGCCTAATTTGTCCAGCATGAAAACAATTTTGTTGTAATGCATTAAAAGTACTTCAATTTCCGGTTCTGGTGCGGCAACTGATGTTCCAGTGCCTTTTCAAAGCAAGATTCTACGTTAGGGAATGTGGTCAGCAGACGTTCTAGAACCGATAACAGATTCGGATGTGCCTAAAAATCCTCTATCCAACCATAATATAATACTTTGGTTTCAAGGGGTGGCAGATTTGCGGTCTTATCCGGCGGGGTCTTTGACTCATGACGCTTGAGACAAACAGAATAGAGCATGAGTTATGAGTAGTCCAGCACGAAAAGTGCCAGGCTAATGTTTGCTTTTTGAAAAACTAACCCATGCCCCGAAAAAGCAAGTATTACAAAGAAAAAGGAGCATTTTTAGACTTTTCTGCATCAACAATGAAAATGCTCGTATTTCACTCCAGGTTAATCCAGCCGGTTTGAGATCTTGAAAGGATACTCAGAAATTTGCTGCTAAAGTGATAATCTCATACGTCAGTAAGTCAAAGTTTCGATGAAAATTTTTCGAACTCATTCATATGTCTGGTTTGTGCTAACAATGGTACAGTTACAATTATAATTATTTATAATGATAGGAATTTCAAATAACAGAAAAGGGCTTAAACGAAAAGGTTGCAACTTAAAAGTCAGAACCTAGAGGTTATCCACCATACGGAACCGAATGCTGATATCAGCCTTTTTTGATTTGGACTTTCATAATCAGGCATGCACCGGTATCGATATACCGAATACCGAAAATACCGACTTTATTTAGCCTGGACATTTTTCGCTTTTTTTCATTTGAAATGAGACATCTTAGCGTCCTGGACAGCCACAAACAATCACGGCCACAAAACAAGAGCTTTGTTTGCTTTCTAAAGCTAAAGTTTTTCTTTTTTTATGTACACATGCTCAGAATACAAATCTCAGTGTCTTTTGCTGCTCAGGAGGCTAGCTAAAATATCTCACGTTAAATGAGAAAAGCGAAAAAAATTCAAGCCGAAAAAAGTTCAGTATTTTCAGCATGGGTATTTCGGTATGAATACCGATACCAGTGCATACCTATTCATAATGGGATTGGGGAAAACCTGGATTTTGAGCTGTACTGGTCTTGGACGCATTTTTATAAAAAAATTCTACGATGATTGAAATTTTTATTCGATGCACTTACCGAATAGAGCACGTTGTACTCTATCCAAAACTTATTTTGGATTTTATGATAAAAACATTTTATTTTTCGAGATTTCGAGAGGGTTTTCGCTGAAAAAGCAAGGCTTTCCAAAGATCTTCTCTTGTAACAAGGCTGCAAAGTTAAAACTTTTTTGTTTTGAACTTGCTAAACTATGTAGTTTAAATGTATGAGGCTGACAAAGTTCTATCTCAATGATTCAAGGTTTTCTAGGAATTTTCTAGAAACTTCTTCATCACTCTGCAACTGTCAAAATAAATATTGGGGTTAAAATTAAATGCATAATATGAAAAATATCTTATGGATACCTCTATTATATGTGAGTAAAAGCAAATTTTCTGAGATTGTTAAAGGGACTTTAAAAGAGTGTCTGGAAAACTTTCTTGTCTTTTCAAAATTTTTTCATGACGGTATTTGACATCATTAATATACACTAATGGACTTCCAAAATATTTTAATAGAAATTTTCAAACTTAAAATATTGTAGAAAAAAGTTATTTGAGACGAACTTGAGAGAATTTCTACGAATTTCAGAAGATTCTTATCTTTTTTTCTGTTATCCTCATTTCTTATTGTTTTCTCATTTCACATCTGAACTTCTCTCAAAGAACTTTACAACTTTCATTCTCTACTAAAAATCAGTTAATAGCGAGATGATGTGGATATCTAGCTTATTTAATAGCATCAAAAAAACCAATAAGAAAGAAGGAGAAAAAAATCAGTTCGTCTAATTTCTGCTTCGAAGAAGACGGCGACAACTCTACTTCTGTGTGTCTGTCCATATATTTGTTGTCGAAAAAGTGGGGGATGGTATTGAAGAAAACTTTGCTCTATCTATATGCGATTGAAATAGAATATAAAACTCACTGGGAAGATTTTCAAGCAGTGACAGTAAAAAATCATATAGATTGTTTATAAAAGAGCTAGTAGTGATCGAATCTTAGAGTCTTTTTTAATTGTGCAACATAACTGGTACCGATGATTGTGTATCCAATCTAGATGTCTACTGCTTAACCCAAACAGTTCAGTAAAATACCAATATACTCAAGGAACGACTTTTATTGATTTTCGGTTCGTAAAGAACTTTTTCACCCAAACAGTGCACCGGGAAGGCTAAAATTTCGTGATCAGCTCGATCTCGATAAAAAAACCCAAGAAATAAATAGGGCTGTAACTTCGAATTACTGCCCATGTTGAAATTTTGAGAGCTGCAGGCACCGAAATGCGATCTGTTGCCCGCACTCTCCTACAAGCCAAGAGAAGCTACTTAGAAAAATTTCTAAGTAGATTTTCAATGGAAAAGGACGATTTATATCAATACACACTTGCACATATTCCGCTTTTTCAAATTATACACTATTTACGGTGACTCATCGCAATAAGTCATCGTTTTTGTTACGATGATAGACCAAAAAATATTTTTGTAAAGCTTATAATGAAAAATCACAGACTTTTATAATACAAAAAAAGATTCTGCACACGACAAAAAAGTATCGTTTTTCTGTTGGTTTTTGCGTGCAAAAATACAGCGCTAGAAAACGCATATACGAATAATGCGTCTTCCGGTGTTGCGTTAGTGTGGCCTAAAAAGTGCCAAAAAACGCACATTTCTGCAGAAATCGTGAAAAAATTTGACACGGATGGCATCTTACATAAAACAATTTGTCAAATGAATTTGAATTCTACAATGGCATTCCAATACACATACAAAGTCAGATTGATCTGTCCACTAAATGCGCAAGTTTCGCTCTTCACAGAGTCAATTGACTTGAAACAGAAACAATACAAGTCTAAGAATCGACTATCAACAGCGGATTCCCTTAATGGTTTTTCAGACAAGATTGTTTCTATCGTCCTCTTGGTGTTTTGACAGGAGTCCTGGAAAAAAAGTCTTACAGGAGTCAGCAGGAGTCCTGTCACAGGACCCCGGCAGGATCCTCTGTGGAGTCAGGGTCAGGGAGGATTTTTAAGGGATTCATGAAGGACTCTTGAAGACTCTCACAGGAGTTCTATGGGATTTTTAAGGGACTCTTGAAGACTCCCACAGGAGTTAAATTAGAAGGTTAAGTTAAAAGGTTTTCTGCACACCTTCTGCAGACCCCAAGGAGGTTGGAAGTATTTCTAATCGATTCGTTAGTCGGTTTATTACGAAACTTAAAAGGGTGTAGAGAAGTGCAACCATTTCTAAACCCCTTTTAGGTTTCGCAGAAGACAAGATGCAGTACGAAACCGTTTTAAGTGCATTGAAACGATTGATCAGTGCATTTACTTATTTCGTTATGTTTTTTCTTAATGATTTTTTCTCGAAAAATCAAAAATTAGAGAAGTTTCAGGTACTTTTGGGCTCAGTTTTCGCCGTCCTATACAATGAAAATACGCCTAAACTGCTGAAATGGTCCACTTACTCAGAAAAAAAAAGTTTTAGAAAAAAAATTGCTAGAATTTATGCACTTAAACGATTTCGTACTGCACCATGTCTTCTACGAAACCTAAAAGAGTTTAGAAATGGTTGGACGTCTCTATACCTTGTTAAGTTTCGTAATAAACCTTTTTTTTAGAGAATGGTGTTTCAATGTTACTTTCGTTTTCATTCTGTACTGACGATGAGTCGGATGAGACTCAACAACTTTAGTATGTTTATGAACAGATATTATAGTAACATAAATAACACGAATAATCAAGCTGCAAACAATATATGTACCTTTATTACAAAAATCCTACCATTATCCTATAATAATAGAATCAGCATGAGCTTCCACAGTGAGCTAAGATTTCTGATCAGAAGCAACAGCACTGGAAAGATTGAAAACCAACTGAAAATTTCTTTACTGATGTCTAAGTTAAATTTATATTTTATACTTTATATTTTTTGTCTTGAGAATATCTTTGAAAGGTGAAACGCGTCGACTGAATTTTTAATATTTAAAAATACATTACGCTGCTCGTAAATTCTTAAGCAATTTTATATGTAAGCAAGAGTGTGGAACGGTCGCTGTTAAATCATGGTTAAATCAATTTGATCAATGCTTAGTGCTAGTAATGCTAGTACTTTACGGAAAGAATGACTTATCAGTAGTAACTGGGTACTTTCACACAGGTTCTGTTTCGATGTAGCTGATTGAAAATCCTAGCAAAATCAATGGAAAACCACTATTTTTATAAATTGCTTACCAAACGGTTTAGAAATTGCGGAAAATAGACTTATTTATAGCGAGAATGAAGCTTCATTTATGTTCTTTTTAATGACACAAGAATAAAGTGTGTAATTTTCTAGGGTTTTGATTTATAGGTTCTGGGAGATGCTGGGAGATTTTGACAATCCCAACCTTTGAGCTCGATTTTCTCCAAACTTTGTTAAAATTCTTTCAAAACTGTTTTACAAAGACATCTCATCTAGTGCTACTAGTCTTTCAAGTTTCGAAGTTCCCATACTAGAGCTTCGTCAGGTACTGAAAATCGACTATCCAGAGAACCTCTGGAAAATTTACCCGATGTTAATTTACGAAGATTGAGGCGTGCAAGTTTTTCTAACTTTCCAAAAAACAGAATACTGTTCGAGCTTTCCTTGAGAAAAAGAGATTTCTTAGATAGTTTTTCGAAAAGATCTTAGTGAGTATCGATCACAGTTTGTTGTTTAATTCAGTAAAACTGTGAGACAAAATTAGACCTTGGTTTCCTATTTTGATTCCATATATTGAAAAGGCTTTTTCATATATTATTATATTTCTTTAAAAATGTTTCTTTATTTTCAGGACATAACCTTTGTGGTATGATTTACTTTTTAGCATCACAGATGAAGACTAGAAACTCTTTCATAGTTATCTATATCTATTTGTATTCTTATTTTAAAAAATTCGAAATTCATAGAAAGAAAGAAAGATTAAATACAAAATGTCTATCACAATGTCTATCCACAACTGTTTATCCAACAGTAAAAGACGTCAAAATAAAAGAATATCGTATCAGATTTTCTCATGGAACAAAAAGAAAATTAAATAATCACGCTTCTTTATCTTTCATTTTCTGACTGTTACGCCCATCTTGATGAAATCCCAACTAATTTTATCTTACACGATATATGAGCATCATTTCCAATAAAGATTTTATATGTACCAGGATGTAACCATGTTGAACCGTCTTTCCCCACACTCAATAATACTCGTATTGTTAATGGAAAAAACACCTCTTGTGTTTCACCAACATTTAAATGGATCCTCTCAAATCCAAACAATTGTTTTAGTGGTGGCTGAATAAATTTCGGCAAATTCGTTGCTTTCACATAGGCCAAAACGATATCGTCTCCTGCCACCATTCCAGTGTTTGTCACATTCACACGATAAGTATCTGTTATTGTTCGATCATTGTAACCTGTTTTCATCAAAGTGGTGATATCAATCACTGATATTTTCGATGGCTGTCCCCAGTCATATGAAAATGTTGTATAAGATAAGCCGTGACCAAATTCATAAACAGCTTCACCTGTATAAAATTTGTACGTTCTACCAGGATTTGCATCACCTGGACGCATATTCATATTAAACATGCTCACTTGATTAACGTAGTCAGTCGGATAAATAGTTACAGGTAATCGTCCTGCAGGATTGTACAAACCAAATATAACATTGGCGATGGCGAGTCCTCCCGCTTGACCCGCATAGCCCATCCATGTAATACTATCAACTCGAGGTGAATCTCGTGCAACTGTCAAATCAACTCCACCACCTGACATAATAACAACGTGAATCGGAGCTTTACTTATGTTTGCCACTTGTTCAAGTAAAGTCATCTGAACGCCCGGTAAGGTGATTGATGTACGATCTAAACCTTCAGCTTCAATCGATTGATTAAGACCACCAAAAAAAAAAACATAGTCCGCCGATCGAGCCAATTGAAGTGCGGCTTCGAAACCCGATGTGTCCGTGCCAGCAATTTCACAACCATATGCAAATTGAACATCGATATCTTTTCCTAAACAAAAATAAAAGAAAATTAATCGGTTTTCTTCTAGTCCGACAAACATTTAGGCAAATACATTACAGAAAGATATTTCGTAACATGCTAACCTACCAGCAGTTACAGCTTGGAAACCAACAATAGGATTAATAATATACGGAGCCGCACCATAATAATTGCCTTGTTGTAAGATCGTAGCATTTGCAGTTGGACCAATTAAGGCAACTTTCTTTCCTGCCATAGTATCGACTTTTAATGGTAATCCATTATTTTGATTTTTTAACAGAACAATGCTTTCATGAGCTGCTTGTACTGATAATACTTGCGCCACATCTGTATTAACGTCGGTTTTCGAATATTTTCTATAAGGTTGTCCATCAGGTGAATCAAAATAGCCTAATCGTATTAATACTTCAAAATTTCGTTGTAGAGCTTGGTCAATATCCGCTTCGACGATTGTTTTATTGGATAAAGCATCAGCGGTATGTTTCAAATAAAAATCACCGCAATTCAAATCTGTTCCAGCATGTAATGCTACAGCAACCGTATCCTGAACAGTTTTTGTGTAATGATGAGTGTCCATAATTGTACCAACAGCACCACAATCAGAAACGACAAAACCATCCAAATGATATGATTCGCGTGCGATCTTTTGTAACTCAAATGTGTTTGCACACGAAGGAACTCCGTTAATAGCGTTATAACTACACATAATACTCGCTACATGGGCATCACGAATACAACTTTCAAACGGGGGTAAGAATGTTTCAACCAGATCCTGATCTGTAACAATAGCATCAAAATGGAAACGATCAGTACCATTCCAATTCTCAAGATCATACGCGTTGAAATGTTTACAGTCAGCTGCAATTTTCAAATATCTTGGATCATCACCCTTTTGTAGCCCATCGATTAGTGCATAAACATATCGTGATGTCAGAAACGGATCTTCACCCGGTGTTTCTTGCCCCCTTCCCCATCTCGGATCACGAAATATATTTATATTAGGGGTAAAGTATGTCAGACCAGCTCGTCCAGCATTTGAGAAAGCTCTTGCTTCTGTTGATATAATTTGTGCTATTTGATAAACAATACGAGTATTAAAACTAGCTCCCAAATTAATTGGCATCGGAAATGATGTTGCAGATGGAAAATCGCCTCCAAATGATACCCCAGGGCTATAGGCAATACCATGTAAAGCCTCGCTCCACCATTCATAACCCGGTAAACCAAGACGTTCGATTGCTGGTGCAGTATTAACCATCTGAGTAATTTTTTCCGTTGTTGTCATACGGCTGATTAAATCCATTGCACGAACTCGATACGATAATGATGCATCACAGATAGGATAGGCTGCTAATGGACCTTTTTGACAATCAGGAAATGGTAGTGGGACTACTGCACTAATAATGGCATTCAAGGAGATCGTGAACATTAATAAAGTTGTCATTCTGATAGAAGATACAGTAAAAAGACTGATGGACGGATACTTAAAAAAAAGAACATTTGATGGTATAACACTTCACGACGCATTAATTGTTTTTTCTAAGGAAACCAAAAGTGTTCGACACAAAAGAAACACATCCTACTAGACGAAGATGAGCAACTCCAATTCCGGAGTTGAGCTTCTTTTTAGTGGAGTTCGAGTTGAGTTAAGATTTTTCCAACTCCAACTAAAAATTTGCATTCCACTGCTTTCTGCTGTGATCACATTAGAGTTGATCGAAACAAGTCTGTCATTTTTCCTTTCCCATATATATTTCTTTTGTATTATTCGTTTATCATCTGTTCTCCTTCTTCTACAGAATTACCTATTCTCTGTACACAGAAACTTATGTTATAGAAGAAGGATCAGAAGAAAAACATAGAAAACAAAAAACGAAACCTTATGTCGACGCGCTGGATTTATTCTTGCTCACTTATCCACACCGTGTGCTGTTATAACCGCTGCCCAAGCAGACAAACATTTGGAAAAATGCGTTTAAACGCTCAAAAGGGAACCGCGATTGTGAGTCAGTAACGCTCATTAAAAAAACGCAAGAAACGCGTTTTTTGCGCAAAATTTTCACTTTCAGACCGTGAAAACGGCGAAAACTCCCGTTGTTGAGCGTTAAAACGCGCTTTTATTCCAGAATTTAAAA